AATTCTGTAAAGATCAAATGAGATAACGTATTAAAGTGTTTTGTCTTCATGAGCTATACAAATATAAGTTATTACTATTGATTAGAAATTACCCTCTGATTTGAAAAATATACTTATGTGTTAAATTTTTTTTAAAGGAAGAAACATAGAATTTTCAAAATAAGAAGTTATTTAGCATTTTACTCAAGAATTTAAATTCTTAAAATGATTAACAGATAGTTTATACTGAAGATAAGTAAAAAGATAGTAAAAGAACACCTAGGTGCCCTTGATGAATTCAAATCACCTAGCCCAAGTGAATTGCATCCTCAAGTCCTGAAAAAACTGACAGACAAGTGCTAAGCCACTGGCAGTTAAATCTGAAATATTGTGGAAAGCAGGAGAGAGAACCACAAGATTAGAGAAGAACAAATGTTGTCTGAGTTTAAAAAAAAAAAGGGAAGAGAACAGAGTCTGCAACTATAGGCCAGTGAGCTTGATTTTGATTTCTGGAAAAATTCTAGAATAGATCATTAAAGAAATGAGGGAGAGAGAGAGAGAGAGTGAGTCAGCATTTATTAAGTGCTAAGCACTATGTCACATTCTGGGGATACCACTACAAGCATGCATGACAGACTCTGCCCTCAAAGACATTCTACATTCTAATGAGAAGACAACACATAACGGGGTTAAAGGAGAGTACAGGCTCATTGGCATGATGTGGAAGTGGACTGCTTCAGGATAAGATGAGGACAAAGTTCACCTCTCAGAGCCTAAGGTCACAGGGGTGGAAACCAAAGTTTCAGTTCAGGGAACATGAGGATGATGATGGCCAAAGTGTGGGCAGCGTGGTGATCATCAAGAACCAATTTTGTGCCCCCCCCCAAAAAAGGACAGATTTTTGCCAGACTGATCTCATTTCCTGTTTTGACAGTATTTCTGAACTAGTAGATGAGGGAAATACTGCATATATTAGTTTGCCTAAATTCTAGCAAAGCTCTTGACAAAACATCTAATTATTTTTTGTGGGAAAAAATGAAGGGATATGGATTAGATAATAATTCAAGCAGATGAATGCAAAACTAGTTTAATGGCCTTGCTAAAATAATGGTGTAATGGTTCAATGCCATCGTGTGAGAAGGATTCCAGGGGAGTAGGAAGCTTCACCTGGACCTTGTGGTGTTTGACTTTGTTATGAATGACTTGAATAAAGACAAGAAAACAGCATATTCATCCAAATGTGGGAAGATTAATTCACACAGTGAATCACAGAGTTAAGATCCAAAAGGGTCTTGACAGGTTAACAGGGATGAGGAACCAGCCTCGAGGCCACCTGTGGCCCTCTAGGTCCTCAGGTGTGGCCCTTTGATTAAATCCAAACTTGATAGAACAAATCCCCTTAGTAAAAGGATTTGTTCTGTAAAACTTGGACTCAGTCAAAGGGCCCCTACTTGAGGACTTAGAGGGCCACAAGTGGCCTCGAGGCCACAGGTTCCCCACCCCTGGATTAGACCATTGGGCTAATTCTGAGATGAAATTCAATAGGGGTAAGTATAAAATCTTACACTTAGATACCCAAAATCAACTTCATAATTACTAGATAAGGGAAGCATCATTAGGTAGCAGTTTGCCTGAATAAGACCTGGATATTTTAGTAGACCGCATGCCTAGTATGAATCAACAGTGTCATGTGGCTGACACAAAAGCTAAGGCAGTCTTGGGCTTGATTTGAGAGGCACACCTTCAACAGAGAAGTTAACAGCCACATTGGACTCCGTTCTTAGAAGAAGTTATCTGAAGTGGTGTATTCAGGTCCAGGCACTACAGTTTTAGAAGGACATTATCAATAAGATGGAAAACATCCAGAGGACAGCATCCAGGCAGAGGGCTTTGAGTCTAGGATATGTGATCATCAGGTGAAGAAAGTGGGAAGTGTTTAGCCTGGAAGAAGTGAAGACTCAGTGGAGACGTGATAGATAGCTGTCTTCAAGATTTGATGAACTGTCACGTGGAGGAGAGATTAGATGTGACTTTGTGGAGCTGAAGGGACAAATCACGAGCAATAGAGAGATGTTAGCAAGGGATAGATTTAGGCTTAATGTCAGGAAAATTTTCCAAAGAAGTAGAGCTGTCCAACAGTGGATTAGACTACTTTGGGAGGTAATGGGTTCCCCTCCTTGGCAGTCCTCAAGACTGCCACTTGTTAAGTATGTTCTGAAGGGGATGACTTTCATTCGTGAGATGGACTTTATGGCTACTGATCTTCCCTCAAAAACTCAATTCTGTGATCATCGTTATTTTGTTTTTACAGCAGTGGACCCTGAGAGCCACAAAACAGTAACTCCCTATCCTGAGTAGTAGAAATAAAATTATGTGACCACAAGTTCAATAAACGTTTTACACTAGGCAGCAAGTATTTGTAAAGTATTTCCTTCATGTGCTGCTAATTTACAGGAAAGAGATGCTTTTAGAAAAACGTGTGCATGGCTAATTGAAAAAGTACATAGTAATCAACTTTTATTCCTGGCTTTCATACAACAGGCTGACTAACGTGGTAGCCAAATTTAGGTTGCCTGAGGACAGACTACTTACTGACTAATACTAGGTCTGTGTGTGGCCATGACCAAATGCATCTTCTGACCACAAGACCATGTCTGGATTCTCCTTTGTAATTACCGCACAGCCTACTATAATTGTAAGACATATATTTACTTCCTGCCTTTGCCGTGTAGTTGTGTCCAAGAATCTGAGCTGAACTGGAAATGTAGATCTCAATGTGATCCTCCTAACATTTGGAATCGTCCAGTGAATGGGGTGTGTGGTTGTATATAGCTGTGTATGTGTGTATGTATGTATGAATGTGGGCTTTAAAATACATACTTTGCTCCAGCTTTCTACATTCAGGTTAGGCAGACCTTCATGAAAATTAACAGTTTTTACTATTTAGATCAGGAGTCTTAACCTTTTTTGTGTTGTGGACTCCTTTGGCAGTCTAGTGGAACCTTTGGAACCCTTCACAGGATAATGTTTTTAATGCATAAAATAATTACATGAGATTACAAGGGAAACAAGTTATATGGAAATATAGTTATCAAAATATTTTTAAAATATATTCATTGGTTCCAGGTTTAGAACTCTTGGTTTAAATGAAACCATTTAAGTAGTAGCAGTAGCAAATCAAAAAGCTTCCCCAGCCAAGGAAAAAAGAATAGTAATAAGTTTAGCTAGCTAACAACTCATGTAACCTTGTTGAGCAAATCTATTTCCCTCTTTGAGTCTATTTCCTTATCCATAAAGTAAAGACCTTGGATTAGCTGAACTCTAAAATCTTTTCTAGTTTCCCAAACTGTGTCATTTTAGTAGTGGCTCTGTATTCTCCCCACCACCTGCCTTTTGATGTGTTTCTGATGTTTTCATGTTCTTTTCATGTCTTGAGGTCACTAAGTTATTGTAAATAAACAACTAACCGAGTCAGATTTTTGTTTGTTTATAAAACATTGTAGAATCTCCGAGTGTATGCCTTGTCTTTTATATTTTTTCTACTGCCTTTCTATAATTTTTTCCCCACTGTTTTGAGAATTACCATTCTGGTTTTGTAATTTTTCCAAATGGGACAAACATGTTGGTAGAATTCTTTTTATATTACTTTAAATAAACATAGCTTTCAGCTGAAGAAAATCTTTGTCTCTAGGAGACTTTAGCTGTTGCAAAGTCCTCTGTGTTTTAGTTTCTCAGTCCTTGAGCTATTAGTCACTGTTGACACTCTTCCTCATTCTCAGTTTTGCTCACCTTCTCCTTTCATGATCACTGATGTCAGTCGTTACCTACAATTTTCAAGTTCCCTACTCATCCTTCCCTATTTGTGGGTATTACATTTGAGTTGTCCTTGCTTGCTTCCTCAACACTACGAAATTCAGAAAAAAGCCTAAGGCTGATTTTGTTGGCCTCGGCACATGTTTTTCCTCTATAATTATACTTCCCAGTGTGGTAGAGTAGAAAGAATATCAGCTCTGGAATCAGAGGATGTTGGTTCAAATTTTGCCTCTGATACTCAACTACCTATTTATGTAAACTTGGGCAAGTTAAAGTTACTTAAGCTCTTTAGGAATCAGTTTCCTCATCTGTAAAATGAGGCGATTGGATCAGATGGCCTCTGAGGGTTTTGACAGTTTAGCTCAGATCTCTGCCAGAGGCTCTTCTCAGGCTTTGTCACCTACCCTAGTGCCTTCCCTTTGAGATTATGCTATATGTATCTTGTGTGTATGTTTTGCATATTATCGCCTACATTAGAATGTGAGCTCCTTAAAGGCAGGGACTGTGTTTTTGCCTTCTTTGTATCTCCCAGTGCTTAGTACAGTGCCTGGCACATAGTAGGTATTTAATAAATAAATGCTAATTGACTAACTGACTAGATCTATGACCCTATGATTTCCCAGCATTTAACATGATAGAAAATCAAAAGTTTGACATCACAGTGAAATATTCTCTACAATCAACCATGAAGGAATACCTCTTCAAATTTTTGGTCTGGTGCTGGTGTCAAATATTAAATAGAAAGAAGCAATAGTGCTTCTATCTGTCACTCAAAAGGGAGAGGCCAAGTGATGGAGTGGGGAGCTCAATGACCTTGGTTTTAGAATGCTTGGTGTCAATTCTCAGCTCTACCACATGCCAGCCCTTGAGACCTTCACCTCAGTGAGCTTTGGTTTCCTCAGATGTAAAATTAATACAATAGTTCTTGCTCTACTTACCTCACAGAGTTGGAGTGAGGATTAAATGAGCTAATGTACATAAGTGCTTTACAATTATAAATGACTCTATAAATGGTAAGTGGTATTTTTGCTAAAATATTTTTTTGCACAGAATTTTGTGTAACCATGACCCATATTATTTCCACAGAGATATTTTAGTATTGTATAATTAGTTTAAACTATACTATATGGAACTTGTATCTTTTCAGCCAATAAAATGTTAGTTTAAAAGGCATATTTCCTTTGATTGTATTTTTTTTTTGGCCACAGGTGGACTCCCTGTAGACCCAACTGATGATGACTCAGAAGAACAAATAGATGAAGATATGTTTGTGACCCAAAGTCAAACCAACTTCACTTGCCCCATTACTCAGGTACTTTGCCTTAAATAGATTTTTTGATAGAAAAAGTGCTTACTGACTTACCCACCTAATCAAAAAAAGTGATTTGTCTTCACATTCAGAGTAGAGGGTGGAGGGAATTGAATAGTAAGATAGGAGTATAGGTACTGCTGGCAAAATGAAGTAGTGCTAAGTTTTCTGACTGCCAACCAGTCAAGAAGTCTAGAAAGAAAGTGATACGTCCAACAGTTCTGCATTGTACGATGTTGGTGGGTTGCTTTAATAGTTGTTATCTTACCTTGAGCGAGTGGAAACTTAAACATTAAAAAGGCTAGTGCTTGAAATCCCAACTCCTGACAATGGTAATTTAGCGAGCTGACTGGAAGGTGATAGTCATCATTCCTGTAAACCCAATCTTCTTGATTACAGTTGGAAATGAAGAAACCAGTGAAAAATAAAGTATGTGGACACACCTATGAAGAGGAAGCCATTAGAAGAATCATTGAATCGAAACACAAAAGAAAGAAAAAGGCATGGTGAGTTCACAAGGAAGAAAAAAAAGCTATAGCTCTTTCCTTTACTTAGCAAATCAAAAGCATTTTGTTCAGGCAAATATTTTGAACTTGGCAGAATCAGAGGAAGGAATACTTAAATGTCCATTCTCAATCATGTTTAGCTCAATAGTTGTATAAACATGAAAGTTAACTCTCTGTAAAAATAATACGTGAGGGGAAATTTTATAAATTACTCAGGAAGGGTGTGGAAAAAGAGCAAGCTATTCAGAAAGCAGAGCATTATGTAGTGGAAAGAGCATTAGATGGAAGGTCGGAAGACCCACATTGGCATCTGTAAACTTCTTGTGCAGCAAGGGCAAGTCATTTCCTCTTTATGAGCCTCAGTTTTCTTATCTGTAAAATGAGGGGAGGTTGGACTGGATGATCTGAGACATTTTTGAAATCTAAAATTATTATTTTTATGACTTTCAGGATTATAGATCTAGAGCTATGGGGTATCTCAAAGTCCATCTCTAGTCCAATTCCCTGATTTTACAAATAAGGAAACATACCCAAGGTAGTTAAGTGATTACCTAAGGTCATGTAAATGGCAGAGGCAAAATTTAAATTGATATATTGGATATACATAAAATAAGAGAAAATTTGTGAGGATTAGCTGTCAGAGTCCCTCTATTCCCCTTTGAAAATTTTTCCTAGGTTATGTATATTTTCAATTAAAAATAATTACTTCCTTAGGCAGTATGGTACAGTGTAAAAGGCATTGGGAGGTGGAGTAAGAGGACCTGCATTTAAATCCCAGCTCTACCACTTATTCAGTATATGGCCTTGGGCAAGTAATTGGGACTCAGTTTCCTCATCTGTAAAATGAGAATATTAAGGTTTGTACTGATTACCTAACAGAGTTGTAAGGAAAGTGCATGATAGACTTTAAAATGCTGTTAAATGAGTTGGACTTTGTCATCATTACTAATTTGTCCCAGGAAAGATAGGTATGGTCAAGTTTCAGTACAATTCTGGTATTCATCCCTCAAATCTATTCTTTTATTAGGGCCTGTAAATAAAAGGAGAATCTCTCTATATATCCAGTCTCTTACTGAATTTAGAAATGGGGGGAGGGGCTCTGAAACAGTATAGTCTGATGCTCATTCAGTATTTGTTTTTATCAGTCAGCAGTGATTTTTTAAAGTGCTTCTTCAGTCACTGGGAATATAAAGACAAAAGTGAAACAATCCCTGCCTTCAAAGAGCTCACATTCTAACGGGAGAGATGGCACGTACGCTTGTAGAATACGTACAACTAAATTTTGGGAGCAGGTCACTAACAGCTGATAGGATCAGAAAATGTTTCACATACAAGATAGCACTTGAGCTGAGACTTCTAAGAGGCCAAAGTGAGGAGGAAGAGCTTTCCCAGGATGAGAGAGGGCTGCTCAAGAGGCACAGAGGCAGGAGTGAAAGTATCATGTCTAATGAACCTGAGTGGGGGAAGGGAAATAACTTGTAAGGAGCCTGGAAAGGTAGGAAGCAAACAGGTTGTGAAAAGCTTGATATGAGAGGTAAAGGAGTTTATGTTTGATCCTAAGGGAATAGGAAGCCAGTGGAGTTCTAATGGAGGTAAGGCCTTAAATGTGGTGCAGAGTTGAAGTGGATATCAGTACACGTAATGTTGTGTTTTCTAACCCACCTGAATGATCTATTTCTACAGTGAAACTGCCTGTCCATTACTTTCAAGGGTTATTTATAAATATGTTATTAAATGCTTTTGTTTTTGCTTTGATTCAGTTTTCTCCTTAAAGTAGATAACTTTTAAAAAGCATCATGTCCCCAAGTTAGTTAGCTATATGATGATATTCTATACTAAAGGTTTGAGTCTTTCAGTATCACCTGAATTGTAGTTCAATTGGATTATCAGAAATTGGAAGGAATGTTGTTAATAAATCCAACTACCTCCCTCTGATTCCCTAAAAAAGCACTTTCAAGAATGGTTAATGTCAGTTACAGTCCTCAAAACTTATCTGTATCATTACCTATCCTCTTTCTCTCTGATCACAAAAGATGGGGTATCCCTTGCTCCTTAATAAAGCTAATTCATCTTCCTGAATCTTTTATTCCATTGCCTGACCTTATTCTAGGGGTCATTTCTTTTTAAATTATTTTAAGTTAAATGTTACTTTTTTTAAGTTAACAAGTATTTATTTTCTCTCCTTCACATGCACTGAGGGAGTGCACTGGGGGTGGGGGGACCCTTTTAACAAATTCTAAAGTACAAATGACCAGGCTTAAAGTCTTTTCATCATTTTGTAGATTAATGGGAATATTTAAAATGAACTGTCAAAAAACTTAAGAAATGTATTATGACTGACAAAGCTCTGAGAAAAAAACGTCAAAGGGTAACAGGTTATTTTTATGTGTAATATTGATTTGGCAGGCTTTTTCTTTTTTGAATTAAATTGTATTTTTTTAATTTATCAAGTATTTTTTTCCCACTTCTTCCTCATTTTCTGGGAAAACAAAAGAAATAAAAACAAATCCTTCATAATAAATAAGCATAGTCAAGCAAAACAAAATCCTAAATTGGCCAGTTAAAAAAATATGTGTCTCAGCAGAGCAAAGATAGTAGAGTAGCAAGAAGTATATTGACCCCTCTCTATCAAGTCTTCCAGACAGATGTAGAAAACACACCAGACTGAATCCTGCTCCAAAAAACCTCAAGGAAAACTCACAGTTGGTCCTTTTTCCAGGCCAGGTCAGTATATGGAGACAGAAGTCTATGAACACTGACGATGGGGTCTGTCTAGGAACCCACTGTGTAGAGCTTTACAGCACAGGGAGAGATTGTGCACCTCCACAGAGTCATCATAGAGGGACCAAAACTTGTGTGGGGTTCAAGAACAGGGGCTAAGTGGCAACTCTGTTACTCATGAGCCAGTTTGAGGTCATCTATGAGGGTAGCACTTCAGGTATAGCAGGGGTGGGCCCCTAGGCAGAGTACTGAGAGAGGAGCAAGTTCAGAAACAATTGGCAGCTTTGTGGGATGGGTCCAGGTAGCAGAGCAGGATCCTAGCTCTAACTTCTAGCCCAGTTTGAAACCTGCGGAGGAGTAGCTAGAGCAGGAGTATCAGGCCAAACAAGAGCCCTCAGTTCTGTCAGAACCAGCAGAGCTTTCCCTAGTAGCCAAGTCCAACAGCATTCTACTGAAATCCAGACAGGTCAAGCCCAAAGGCCTGTTGTTCAAACCCAAACCCAGGTCAAGAACGTGGAGAGCTGATACCAAGGGGCAAGTCCAAAGTCAGGAAATATGCTGAAAGAGTGAACAAACAAAAACCGAATCCTGCCATAAATATGTTATAATGGTGGTAGTTGTCCTTCGTTCTTGAAGAGGACCAAAATGATATCACTATATGGGGGTCAAGGTACAGTGTGTGTGACTGTGACTTTTTAGACCGACATGAACTCAGAAGGCTCTGCCACAGGTTGGGCACAAATACTCTCTATAAACATGTGGAGTGGAGAAGTCCGTAAATTTGCACATCTCTCATTTCTTGGGAGCTACTGCAGTTCTGCTTCACTCATAGAGCACAGTGCCTTTTTTGATGCAGACACAACTGTACTGGGGGCACACCATGGTGGACAGTCCTTTGCCAGTGTCTCTCATGTCATGAAATTGATTCCAGAGTTCTTCAGAGAGACCTTGAGAGTGTCTTTGTATCGCTTCTTCTGTGAGTTCATGCCTTGTATGAGTTCTTCATAAAATAGTCTTTTAGGCAAACGTACATTTGGCGTTTGAACAACATGGCCGTCAGAGTTGCACTCTCTGCAGTAGAGTTTGAATGCTTGGCAGTTTAGCTCAAGAAAGGACCTCAGTGTCTGCTACTTTATCTTGCCAGGTGATCTTCAGAATCTTCCCAAGATAATTCAGATGCCAGGAGTAGGTGAAGCAGGCAATTTTTAGGGCACCTTTTCTAGCCCCTTTCTCATACCAAGAAGTGAGCAGTGCAGTCCTTAAAAAAAGGTGTTCAGACACCAAGGAGACTGCCAGATCCCACTGCTGTTTCAGCCCGTTGAGAAGACAGTTCTGTGCCTGGACCACCTGTGTGCAGGCTTGTGACTAAGCTCCTAGTGTATCTGCACCTGCTGCTTTGTCACTTGCCTGTCACCACAGAGCTTTGAAGTAGGTAAAAATGGTAAAATGGTATGGGTGATGTCTTTTGATTCATGCTTAAATTGAATTTAAGTGAGGCAGAGTTGTGCAAAGTCGTCAGCCTCACTCTTTCTTCCAGAGTCACCGGAGTCCTAAAGGTGACTGGTGATGGATTGGGATGCAATGGACGACCTTGGTATCTCACATAAAAGCTAGTGGCTCTATGAAACAAAAGGAAATATTAAGACAAAATCAAAACTCTGAAAAAACCAGCAGAAAATGTGAGGTATCTTATAGCAAAAACTACTGAACCAGAAAACAGATTAAATAGAGTAAATTTAAGAATCATTAGACTATCTGAATGCTATGACAAAAAAAAAGAGCTTAGAATCATATTTCAAGAAATCTTTAAAAAAGAAAAAAAAAACTGCCCAGACCTCTTAGAACCTGGAAATAGAAAAATCCGCTGTTCATTTTTTAAAAGAAACCCCAAAATGAAAACTCCTATGAGCATTATAGCCAAAATCCAGGGTATCCAGGTCAAAGGAAAAATATTGTGAGCACCCAGAAAGAATTCAAATACTGAGGAGCTACAATCAAGATCACACACCATTTAGCAGCCACTATTGTAAAGGAGAAGAGAACCTGGAATGTAGTATTCTAGAAGAAAAAGGAATTAAAGAAAGAAAAAGGCTTAAAACCAAGAACAACTTGTCCAGCAAAAGTCAGCATAATCCTGTGGGGGGAAATGGAAAGATCAGAGCTACCTTGGAAATGCAAACACAATAGTCAAGGGAAACCTAAAAAAGCAAACTGAACCAACAATCATAGTGGATTAAACAATGATAAATTGCTTATCTTCTAATGTGAGAGATTATGAAAACCCTATCATCAGGGGTCATAAAGGGAGTCTAATTAGAAGGCCTGGGATTGGTTCTATTATGTCTTGATGATCTTAAAAGAAAAATGGAAAGGGAGGAGAAGAATAATGCACAGTAGGGAGGGGAAGGGAGAAAGTTAGGTATAATTATTTCATTGTAATCAAGTAGAAGTCTATGCAAACAAGGAAGAAGGGCTGGGGTAGTAAATGACATTTGAACAGGCCAGCCATCTCTTCAATGGGATCTCTTCATCCTATCCTAGAAGTTTACTTCAGCACTGGAACTCTTACTTCATCAGTACCCTCTTATTGGAGTTGGAGAGCAGAGAGCTTCTTCCAGAACCTGTTTGTTGATCAGTGATCTCCTAATCATCAAAAACAGGGGTGTTTTTTTAGTCTTCATAGTTCTCCCCTTAAATTTAGTAATTAGTTCTGTTGACCACAATCTCCTGCTAGATTGTTTTTCTTTCCTTGTAGACATCACTCTGTCCTAATTTTCCTTCTATTTTTCTAATCACTACTTTTAAATTTTTTTTTAATTTACAAAAATTTATTTTCTTTTCCTCCTATCTCCTCCTATCCCCCAGTGAGGGAGATTGGGGTGGGGGGGAGGGGGAAGTAAAAGAAAACTTTTAGCAAATGTACAGTCAAAACAAATTCCTGCATTGCCATTGTCCCCCTCCCCCGAAAATAAATTTATATCTCATTCTGTACCCTGACTCTCTCTGTCCCTAACTGACAGCAACCTCCTTAGTTTCTCCTTCTTGTCATTACAAAGTATTTTTGCATGTATGGGTCACTCTGATTTTTCTTTCACCTCTTTATAAGCCTAGTAGTGGTATCACTAGAAATTTACAATTTGGTAATTTAGGGGCATAGTTCCAGATTGCTTTCCAGAATGATTGTATTCATTCACAGCTCCAGCAATGGTGCGTTAATTTGCCTGTGTTCCTGCAGCTCCTTCGGTAATAATCATTTTACCTTTTTGTCAGCTTTGTCAGTCTGATGAATGTGAGGTGGAACCTCAGAGTTGATTTAATTTACATTTCTCTATTAGTGATCTGGAGCATTTTTCATATAGCTGTCCATAACTTGAGAGATAGTGTGACTTGTTATCACAGGATTGAAGAGTACAGTATGTGAGGGAACAAGGTATAAGAAGACTGGAAAGGTAGCAAAGGATTAGGTTATGAAGGGCAACAAATTAAAAATCTCCAGCCAAACAGAAGAATACAAATATGAAAATCAAAGAGGTAAAATTGAAAAACAAAAACAATTTAATAACACTAGGAGTTTTTTTTTAACTAATAAAATTATAAGCCTTCAGCCAACCTGATTTAAAAATGTAGGCAAATCTAGCTACCAATATAAAAAATGCTAGAGGAGGATTCGCAACAAATGAAGTGGAAATAAAATAAATTATTAGAAACTATTTTGTCCAATTATATGCCAACAAAACTGATTACTTAAGGATTAATACTTACAAAACTGTGAAAAACTTAGATTAACATAATAAGTAGAGATTTTAAATATTCCAAATAGATAAAGTGAACATGCCATAAAGGAACTAAAACAAACACAAGACCAGGTGGATTTTCAAGTTGATTCTATCAGATATTTAAAGAAAGAAAAATTAATTCTAGCATCACCTAAATTGTGCATTTAAAAAATAGGAAAAAAAAGATATCCTATCAAACTCCCACTCTGAACCAAAGATACCAGAGTGGTTTGCCATTTCCTTCTCCAGTGGATGACCTTTTGTCAGAACTCTCCATTATGACCTGTCCATCTTGGGTAACCCTGCATGGCATAGCTCGTAGTTTCATTAAGCTACACAAGCCCCTCTGTCATGACAAGGCATATCCAGGAGGGGTCCTACCACTCAAAAGATAGTACAAAGCAATAATCACCAGAACTCTTAATAAGCAAGAGTTGTTCTTTGGTTGTGTCCTACTCTTCATGACCCTGTTGACCACAGCACCCTAATACTGTCCATAGGGTTTTCTTGAGAAAGGTACTAGGGTGGTTTGCCATTTCTTCTTCTAGGGGATTAAGGCAAATAGAGGGTAAGTGACTTGCGCAGGGTCACACAGCTAGTAAGTGTCTGAGGCAGGATTTGAACTCAGGTCTTCCTGACTCCAAGCCCAGCACTCTATCTACTTTGCCATCTAAAAAAATAGAAAAGTTGATCATTGGAACAGATTAGGTGTAAGAGATGTATAAGCAAACAGACATAGTAACATAGTGTTTGGTAAATCCAAGGACTCCAGATACTAGGATTAGGACTAACAGAAAAAAAGAATCCTAGGAGAGCTGAAATTATGAGGCTTCTACCAGCATCTTGCTCAATATATCACAGTAAACTTGAAATGGTTACTATGGATATTAAAGGTCATATCATAAATGGTAAAAGTATGAGATGTTTTTTACTGTACATATGGGAAAAGTTCTTCATTGGACAAGGGATAGACAGGATCCCAGGAGATAAAATGAACCATTTTGATTACATAAATGGTAAAATTTCTGCACAAACAAAATCCTGTATTCCAAAGAGATCAAAGAAAAAGGAAAAGGGCCCATATGTACAATAATACTTGTAGCAACTCTTTTTGTCATGGCAAAGAACTCCAACTAAAAAGGTACCTATCATTTGGGGAATTGCTGAACAAATTATGGTATATGAATGTAATGATATAGTATTATGATATAATAATGAAAGGGACAGAATCAGAGAACAGTTGAAGGACTAATGTGAACTGATGCAGAGTAAACTGAAAAGATCCAGAGATAAATGTATACAGTGATCTTAACATTATAAAGAAAAAGAACTATGAAAAAATTAAGGACAATAATATGACTATTATGACTCCAGGAGACCAGTCCTTAGAGGAAGAGTGTCACATGGAAGAAGGGATAGTAATAACTACTCCAAAAAGGAAGAAAAGTCATTAAATTATTAAAGAAATAAAGAGAGAAGCAAAAGGATATTCAGAAGGGAACACAGCAAGCAGGGCTGTGTTAGAACTAAATTTAGTTTATCCTTTTTGGAAGGTGCCCATAGTCAAAAACAAAGAACAGACAAACTTTACATAATATAAATTCATAGTTTCATGCACAATCTACCTTTTAATTATTCTTTGATTATCAAAATGTTCATATTTGTTGATGTTTATTAACTTCATTATAAAAAATTATCTTACAAATGAATAGTGTGGTTGAGAGGTAATAAGGATTCAAAATAAGGTGACAGTTGTTAATAGAGAAATAGAGTCAGATGAACAAGACATTAGAGATAGAAACGGCCAGACTTGGCAACTGACTGGATTTGGGAGGAAATTGAGTTTGAGGTACAAGCAAGATATCCTAAGTAGGTTTTATAGTGCTCAAATGAGAGAAAACTTATGCACAAGTACTTTGTAACTAAATAGCGCTATAAAATTTAAGCTGTTGTTAATGTTACTGTGCAAAGATAGTCATGTTTCCATCTGATATTGAGGAGGGAACAGCATTTCATGATAGAGTTGATAACCACACTAAAGTTTAGTGAAAAGTCCAAAATCTCTGTAGCATTTTTTCTTAAAGAAGTCATTGATGTCCTGTCAGTTTTAATATGGCCAAATGTGCAATCATGATGAGAAGTTGTGTTCTCCATGTTAGAATTGACCAGTGCCCAATTTGGGATGTCTTACATTTCTTTTTCCTAGCATGTTCTAATTAAACTGTGGTGAATTAGAGTAACAGGCACGTTGTGTTTCTGGAACACTGTCTGAGTCATATAGATTCAACTTCTGAGACTCTGCAGTGGCTTTGGAGAAGAACAAAATATTTGAGATTTAAGCCCTAATTCTGTTCTAATGGAGTTTTTAGTTTGATTACACAAACATTAAGTGCCTGGTGTGTGCAGAGCCTTATGGTATATATCGTCCTGCTTTGCAAAGTTCATGTTAAACTTGATCCCTGGCCAAAGACGAAAAAAAAAACAACTGAACAGTCCATACCATCAAGGAGTTTAAATTCTTATATGGGGGAGGTAGGCAGGAAGAAGAAGAAGAGACTAGGGAATAATATGTACACAGATAAACACAAAATATATGCAAAGTAAATTTGGGGATAGAGTGGTAGCTACTGGGGAGATGAGAAAAGGCTTTGTCTAGTAGGTATCTCTAGAGGTAAGCTTTAAAGAGAGTCAGGAATTCCAAGAGACAGATGTGAGGAGGGAGCACTTTGCATACGTGGGGGACAACTCAGGCAAAGGCTGGAGGCTAGGGATGGAATGTCAGGTATGGGGAACAACGAGTAGACTGATTAGAAGGATTGTGGAGTACAGGATGGGAGGAATAAGAAATAACTCTGGAAAAGATAGGATGGGGCCAGATTGTGAAGTGCTTTAAATCCTAGACAGAGTAGTTTGTATTTTATTCTAGAGGTGCTATGGAAGGATGCTACTAAAGCTTTTTAAGAGAATGGCTTGGTCAGAAGTGTGCTTTAGGAATATTGTTTTAGCTGTTGAGTTATGAATGACTGGGGAGGTACTGAAAGCAAGGAGGCCAATTAGGATGTTGTCACAGTTGTTCAGTTAAAAGATGGTGAGTGCTCGAGCTAGTAGGATGGTGGCTGACTAAAGAAATTGCAAACAATGCAAGGATGGTCACAATCTGGAAAATGATTGGATATGGGGATATAAAAAAGAAGGAAGAGTCAAGCATGACCTTCAGCTTACACACTTGTATTATTAGAAGGATGGAATATCCTTAACAGGAATTAGGAAGTGAAGATGAAGGAAGTTCAGTTCCATTTTAGGCATGATTACCTTGAGGTGCCTGTGGGACATTCAGGTGGAGATGTGTAGCAGGCAATTGGAGATGGAGTTCTGGAGTTCAGACAAGAGAAGAGAGATTGATATGTACATTTGGAAGCCATCTGCACAGAGATGTTGAACTCCTGGAGCTGATGAGAACACACAGAGAGAGTAGGGCAAGAGAAGAGGGCCTGGCACAAGGTCCTGGAAGTAGATCTGTGCCCAGAAGGTGGAACATGGATGATAATTCAGCATGGAGGAACAATCAGATAGGTAGGTAGAGAACCAGGAAGAAGCAGGATCATGAAAATCTAGGGAGAAGAGGATATCCAGAAAGAGAGGATGGTCAGCAATGTCAAAAGCTTCAGAGATGCCAAGAATGATGAAGACTGAGAAAAGTCCAATTGAGAGATCGTTGGTGACATTGTTAAGAGCAGTCTCAGTTGAATGATGGTAACAAAGTCAGATTATACTGAGCAGAAAAAGAGTGGGAGGTGAGGAAAGGGAAACAGCAAGTGTAGTTAACATTTCCTAGGAGTTAAGCTATGAAAGGGAAGGGAGATACAGAAGAGAATTAGAAGGATTCTAGAGTACAGGAAGGGAGGAATGAGAAATAACTCTAGAAAAGATAGGATGGAGCCAGATTGTAAAGTGCTTTAAATTCTACACAGAGTACGATTGTCATAGTCAAGTGAAGGGTTGGGTTTTTTTTTTAAGAATATAGGCAATTGAAACATATTTGTAGGTAGCAAGAGAGGAGCGAGTGTTTAAAGAGAGATTGGATCTGAGGGAGAGGAGTGTGGGCAGGAAGCAAATGATGGGAGGAGCAAGCTCCAAGAAGAAACAGGAGAGTGTAGAACTAAGGGCACAAAAGGCTGCCTTTGGCAAGGAGAAAGGGGAATGAGAGAGAGAGGACGGAAGGTGTTCCATTGCAGAGAAGAGCAAGACCACCACAGAAGATCTCAGGTTTTATTGCTAAAGTGTTACTTGAATGCCTGTGCTGAGAGGAAAAGGAGATGGGGGAAGAGTGGCACACGGAAAGGAGGAGTGGATTTTGAGTCAGATAACCTAAGTTTGAGTCTCTGCTCTGCCATTTTACTAGTCCTTAAACACAGGCAAGTCATTTAACCTTGCTGAGACTCAGTCTCCTTATTTGTAAAATGAGAATCATTCATTACCTTCTTCCAAGGGAAGTTTGGAAAAAATAATTTTTCATCTCCTAACCTCCGCCCCACTTTTTTTTTTACAAAGGGAACAAACTATTCCAGAACCAACTGTCCCTTCATGTGCATGTTAGATTAATCACAGTAGAGAAAAAAGGCTATTTTTTTGTTACTTATTAACCATGAATTGATCTTTGAGAATGAAGATGTTCATAATAGGGTAACTCACTATGCCTGTCATGAGGTATCTAATCCCACTAGTTGACCCTATATTTCCATCTCTTTCCTTTTGTTGCTTTGTGGATAACATATTTAAATCCTAAGAGCTTCAGGAGCTTCTAACTTCTAGTCAGCCTGTGCAGCCAGATCCTGGTGTCCAGGGTGGCTCTGACCTGGGCACTCCTTAAGCCTCACAAACCCACTAGACAGCTATTTGCCCAAATGGAATGTTCTGGCCTCTTCAGTGACATAAGTTCAAAAACCAAACCTGTCTTTCAAAGCTAGTAGTGTCTGAGTCCTGAACTGTGATGACACGATGGCTTAAGGAGAGGAACTGACACACCTGACTGGCTCACTAGGGTGTTGTAGGGATTAATGGACTAATGCCTATAAAATGTTCTCTGTGCTATTACTCTGGCGGTGGGAGTGCCCTCATCCATGGTGTGATGGTGTCATTAAGTCTTTTTGTAATTTCATTTGGGTAAAAAATCATCTTGAGGGAGTTGTTTCTTTCTTGCTTTATTGTGTTTTGTTTTTCAGTTTCCTGAGAAGATAACTGAGTTGAATTTGTGTAACTAAAATAACATCAAAGTCTTTTTTCTCCCAAGTTCTGAGAGTTTCATCTTATGACTTTTTTTCCCCTAATAAGTACACCTCTTTATACGTACGTAGCCAAACTGAAACTAATTTTCTGTGTGGTTGAATCCATCAGTTGTTCTCAGAATGTCTGTCGTTTCACTAATTGAAACCATATTATGTCATCAGGAGGTCTTCATCTCACAGTCCACTTCCCTATCCAAAATATTACTCACTGTCTGGATCACTGAGTTTTATATACCATGGTATATGTAGGAGGAAGAAGAATAAGCTCACATTTAACTGTCTCATTTCTATTTACAGAGAACTTTTCTCACAACAATCCTGTGAAGTAGTTAGTGAAAGTATTATTATCCTCATTTTACATATGACAAATTAAGGTCCCAGATCAGGCGCATACTAAATTGCAGAACTCAAGACTAGAACAGAGGTATTTCTGACTCCAAGTCCCCAGTTCATTCCATTACTCCTCACTGTGATGCAGATACTTGTCTCTTTTCATCCCCAACAGCTAGCAGTTCTCTAGGTTAATTTATGAAATGTATTGTTCTAGTGTGCATTGTGACAGAGATTTTCTTTAGGCTCCTTAGAGTCCTAATTCAACAGATTCATTCCTACACTTGGTATTCCATTTTACCAAAGTATTGACCAGTGGTAACTTTGTATTTGTTGTACCAGTAAAGCCATTCTGTTATTCTGCCTTTCTAAATCTTCCTGACTTCTCTGGCTGGACATCTTTTATGTACTTAGAGCTCCTATTGTAATTATTTGTCTTATTTGTCTTATCCTCCTGTGAGAGCAGAGACTGAGTCTTGTTTCAGCTTTATATCTCACCTAGTACAATGCAATTCATGAAACAGGTGTTTTAATAAAGGCTTCTTTAATTGAACACCTGAAGAGAGACTTTTAGCTTTTGGATCTTCTTTCTTTCTTTCTTTCGGGAGGGGGGTGAGGCAGTTGGGGTTAAGTGACTTGCCCAGAATCACGCAGCTAGTAAATGTTATGTGTCTGAGGCCAGATTTGAACTCAGGTCCTCCTGTCTCCAGGGCAGTACTCTAGGTGCCACCTAGCTGCCCCTTGGATCTTCTTTCTACAAAATTTTTTTAAAATGAGAAATGTATTATTATGGATGACTGAAAATATGTTGATCTAGGGATAAAACATATCACTAAATGCTCTGTGGGGAGAGCTGTGCTATTTTATGGGAGAAATGCAAAGTTGAGATAAGACAGTTTCTGCCCTCACGGAGTTTACAGACTAGTAGAGATAACTTTTAATATACATTATAACATGATAAGCACGTTAGACTGTTACGAAACACAGTGCCAGATGAAGACAGTTGCTGTTAGTCATAAGAATGGAAAGAACAGCCCTCTGCTGTTACATGCTTTTAGAACTACCATCTAAACAGTAGCAGGCAGATGGGTATCTTTCCTGTTTTTAAAGACTTAAAACTTCTTTTGGCAATACACTTCCATTTTAAAATTTAAATGTTAAATAAGTTTACAATGAAGATACTGTCTGCAGGTCTGTTCGCCTCCATTGCATGTGTGACATTGCAATTATAATAAGTTAATAGGGGCTGTTGAACCTCTGGATTATAATTGGGTTTGTTGTTGTTGTTTTCCTCTCCGATAGCTGCCCCAAAGTTGGCTGTAGTCATACAGATGTAAAGTTGACAGATCTTGTGCAAGATGTAGTACTTAGGAGAGCCATTGAAAACCACAGAAGAACGGCCGACAGTCGGAACAAACAGAGCCACTAGACGATGCAGATGTCTACAGTGCGTGTGCTCTCATAGAAGGGAAAGTCTATCAGTGTCTACCGAGATCACTTACTGATTGTAAGCTGACTGGAACAAGTTGTGTACTGTATTTCATTTGCAGGTAAAATTAAAGATTTCAAACATAATCCAAAGTATTTCTAATTGTCAAATAGCAACATTCATTTAAATTTTTCCCCTTTAAAACTTTGTGTTTGATAAATAAAATTATTGTAACTTTTTTCTCTATGGTTTTCTTATTTGGTGAATTTTTCAAAAGATGTAGACATTCACGTAAATGGCTTTTTTTATTTCAAAGTATTTAATATTTAGGCTGTATTGTGACTTCTAATCCCTCATCCCCTCAGTTCTTTCACATCACTCCTGCACTGACTATTCTCTCTTCCCCTCTACATCTTGACCCCTTGGTGACCCATTTCATCTCTGCACTGTCCTCTTCTCTCAAGTCACTTTCCCCCTTATCCTATTAATGATCTTGCCTTCCCACCTTCCTCTCTGCCTTTACTCCTACTCCACTTGCTGCTGAACAAAACTGGAAAAAAAATTATGAAAACATGCCAACTAGGTCCATTACAAATTTATGTTAAATACTCTCCACTGGGTCCTCACTGCTGCTAGGCAATCCTTTTATACCTCCCACTTCTATTCTTTATTCCACTTAGCACAACAGCTTTTTCAAACCTTTTTATATTGCCCCAAACCTCCCCTACCTCCCTGCCCTTCACCCTCTCAGCTCAGAACTTTGCCTTGTATTTCACAGAAAAAACTGAGGCTATTCACAGGTCTGCCTCTTATCTTCTCCTCCTCCTTGTCTCACATCACTCAAATGCCTTCTGCCACTATTTCCTGTTTCATCTGTTTCACTCAGAAAGGTGACTCTTCTTTTTGACAAGGCTAATACTTTTTCCTGCCCAAGTGTTCCTTTTTCATCCTGTCTTCTGCATCAGATTTCCACCTCTGTCACTAATCTTCAGTTGTTCCCTGTCCAACAGCTGCTTCCCTGCTAATACAATGCCCATGTCTAATGGCCTTTTCTCAATCCTTATCCTTCTTGACCTCCCTGCACCCACTTCTTCTCCCCCTTTTAATATATCCCTTGATGATATTCTCAGCTCCAAGAGATTCAATATCACCTCTAAACAGGTGATTCTTGGATCTGTTTATTCTGTCTGAATCTCTCTCCTAATCTCCACTTTCAAATCTCCAGCTGTCTATTAGACATCTCAAACTGGATAGCCTGTAGATATCTTCAACTCAAAATGTCCAACACTGAACTCGTTACTGTTCCCCCCAAATCCTCCCCTCTTACACCCATCTGGAGGATGGCACCACCAATCCTCCCAGTCCCTCAGGCTCACAGCTTCGATTCCTCACTCTCTTACCTCACCCTAATCAATATTTGATCAAGTCCCATCAATTCTATCTCTCCCACTTTGACACTTCTACCTCCACAACACAGACCTTCATCACCTCACACCTGGACAATTACATTAGCTGGTTGGTCTGCTTGCCACAAGTTTCTCCCCACTCCAGGCCATCCTGCACTCAGATTTCAAATTGCTTTTTCTTTTTTTTTTTCCCTGTTTTAAAAAAAAATTAATATTTTCCCCCAATTACATGTAAAAGCAATTTTTAACATTCTTTTAAAAATATTTTCAGTACCAAATTCTCTTTCACCCTCCCCTTCCCCTCATTGAGAAGACAAGCAATTTGATATAGGTTATGCATGTGCAGTCATGCAAAACATATTTCTATATTAGTCCTGTTGTGAAAAAAAAAGACATGCACAAAAAAATACCAGAAAAGTAAAGTAAAAAAAAGTTTGCTTTGATCTGCATTCCGACTCTTATCAGTTCCTTCTCTAGAAATGGATAGCATTTTTCCTTATAAGTCCTTTGGAATTGTCTTGGGCCATTGTATTGCTGAGAATAGCTAAGTCATTCACAGTGGATCATCATGCAATAGTGTGTTCTCCTGGTTCTGCTCATTTCACTTTACGTCAGTTCATGTTCGTCTTTTCAGGTTTTTCTGAGAGCATCCTGCTCATCATTTCTTGTAGCACAATAGCATTCCATCACAACCATATACCACAGCTTGTTCCACCATTCGCCAGTTGATGGACATCCCCTCAATTTCCAATTCTTAGCCACCACTAAAAGCTGCTATAAATATTTTTGTACAAATAGGTCCTTTTTTTTTTCTTTAATCTCTTTGGGATACAGACCTGGTAGTGGTAAATTGTTCTTCCTAATACACAGGTGTGACCATGTCAGCCCCCTCCCTTCTCAGTCAACTCCAGGGGCTCCCCTCCAGGATCAAATCCTCTGGCTCTTCGAGTCCCCCCAGAACCAGGCCCCTTCCTACCTTTCCAGCCCTCTTACATACTACTGCATTCCATGTACTCTGTTAACCAGTAACTCTAGCCTTGCTGTTCTCACATCTCCCTCGCTGTCTCCCAACTCTGGACATTTCCACTGGCTCTCCACCCTTGCCTGGAATTCTCTCTCTCTCCTCATCCTCACCTTCTGGTTTCCTTGGTTTCTTTCAAATTCCAGCTAAAATTATACCTTCTGCAAGAAGCCTTTCCCAATCTCACTTAATGTTAATGCCTTCCCACATTTGACTAGTCTGATTTATCCTCTTTGTATCTTGTTTGTGTATAGTTTCTGGAGTGTCGTCTTCCCCATTAGACTGTGAGCTCCTTGAGAAAAAGAAGAGAGATGTTTTGCTTTTCTTTGTACCCCCAGTGCCTAGTCCAGTGTCTATGAAAGTGTTTAATAAATAGTTGTCAAGAATCCAGTATTGGCAATTGGCATTGTAAATGTTTTTATCCATCATGCTGAATATAGGATAATACTCTCTTGACTGGCACATACAAATCTAGTGCAATGATGCTTTTAACAAGAACTTTGCAATACTGTAAGATGCTAAAATGTTACCTGATCATCCTCTCCTGTCTCCCCCCGCCCCCAAAAAAAGGTTGTGAGACAACTCAGTTCAAATTTGGCCTTTGCCATGGTCTCTAAGGTAACCTCCATGAATCAAGTGTATTTTATTGTATTCTATCTAAGAGTGAGAGCTAAAAGGGGCCTTAGAGGCCATGTAGTCCAAGCCTGTCTTTTTATAGATGAGGAACCTGAGGCCTAGACAGGTTAAGTGACTTACCTAAGGTCTTACAGGCAGTAACAGACTACTTTCAAAAGTGGTCATCAATTTGTAACTTATGCGGCAACTGTATTAATTGGAAGATTTATCTAAGAACTGACAGAGGACAAAATTCTACAGACAGAGAATTTCTTTGGGAACGAATCACATTTGACTGGACTTCAGTGACTCTGGAAGAGAGAGTGAGGCTGACGACTTTGTGCAATTCTGCCTCACTTAAATCCAATTCTTGTGCAAGTCACTCTCTCTTCCAGAGTCACTGAAGTCCAGGAGCAAAGCAAAAGTCAGGATGACTGGCAGCAGCCTGGGATGTAGTGGATGACTTTGGCATCTTCGATGTCTGACCAAGCTCTAAGCTGTCCACAGCGCCTGCTTCAGCCACCATCATGGCTGTTGGAACCAGTCATTCCCAGGTGTCTTCACATGCTTGGAGTAGACCTCACCCGCACTCACTGACATGTTTAAGGCCTGTTGATCACCCTCAGCCTGTTATAGGTCATCTGCCAAGACAGTTTTACTGCTATATATGCTACAGCTTCTTGGAGCAAAAGGTGAGAGTTGAGTAAAAGGTGAAAGCCAAAGGCAGAAAAGTAAAAGGGGGAGGTGATAGGCTCAGCAACATGGCTCTCTTGTTCCTACTTCTTACACTGTCCATGTGAAACATCCCAGCTCCCTCTGTTTCTCTTATGTAGCACAGTTTCCAGTCCCTAGTTTCCTCATCCTTATCTCCCTTCTCTGGAAACACCCTAGCTTGTGAATATCACTCTTAAAATGTGACCCAGAAAAGACTTACATGAATTAATGCAAAGTGAAGTGAGCAGAGCCAGGAGAATATTGTACATAATAACAACAATATTGTATGATGATCAACTATGAAAGACTTAACTATGCTGATCAATACAATGATCCAAGACAATTCCAAAGGACTGATGATAAAAAATACCATCCACCTCCAGAGAGAGAACTGATGAACTCTGAATGAAGATTGAAACTTTTTTTTCTACTTTCTTTTCTTTTTTGCAGCATGGCTAGTATAGAAATATGTTTTGCATGACTTCTCATGTATAAAGGGTATCAAATTGCTTGCCTTCTCGGTGGGTGGAGGAGGGGCTGGAGAGAGGGAGAGAATTTGGAACTCAAAAATATTTTAAAATTTAATGTTAAATAATTAAAAGAAAAACCACTGCAGCACTGCTCCTGATGTGATCTGACCATGGAGAAGAAAATGGAACAATCTATATACCCACTTTGTTCTGGAGACTGCAGTTCTATTAATGCAGCCTAACAGCACATTAGCTCTTTTGATTGCCTTGTCAACTTTTTTGAGAGCCTGTGGTCAATTCATACCCCTCACTGTAAAATTTAGGACCTATTTATACACTTTCCCAGATACTCTATAATAAGACCATGACCTGGCTTTTCATAATAATAGGTAGCATTTATATAGCACCTACTATGTGCCAGGCACTGTGCTAAGCACTTCATAAATATCCCAACTGATTCTCACAACAACCCTAAGAAGTAGGTGCTGTTATCAGCCCTATTTTACACATGAAGAAACTGAGGCAAACAGGTTAAGTGACTTGGCCAAGATCACACAACTAGTAAGTGTCTGAGGCTGGATTTGAACTTGGGTTTTCCTGATTCCAAAATCAGCATTCAAAAAAAAATCATTTTCATAGGTACTTTGTGGAAGAGAAATGGCTAACAATAGTTTGTATGAAACTGAGGATTTTAGGGAATTGTTTGATTGGACTACAGTGTGACCTAGTAGCCAAAAAAACCCAAGATCTTTGACAGCATTTAGATGGGCATACTGTCCTAGATGAAGGAACCAGTAGTCCCATCCCACTTCGTCAGTGATACCACCCTTCTTCCCAGTTACCTGGGTTCAACACTTTTCCTTCATCTCTGACTTTTCCCTCCCTTTCATCCCCATTATACACTGAGCTACCCTGATTAATTGACTCTTCCTCCAAAATGGTCCTCCATCCATCATCCATTTCCCTGCCAACAACCTTATCTTGATCACTTACCAACCTCATATGTAGAAGTGATACAATAGCTTCTTCCTACCTCCGTTTTTCATAGGATCATAGATGTCAAACTGGGAGGAGCCTCAGGGGTCATCGAGTCTAATCCCCCCATTTTACAGATGCTGACACTGAGGGCCAGAGAGTTGAAGTGATTCCAGCCTCCCCCTCACAAATACTAGCTAATACACATTCCTAGCCATTTTGAGAATGGTTTAAAAAAAATTTTTTATCTTGAAAAAGGACAATTGATTGGGAAAGTAGACTAAATTTTCAGGAGTGAATCATTCCTGTAATAAGGTTGAAGCATTTGGCCATAACCTAGAGGTAGCTAGGTGGTGCCATGGGTAGAGCACAGGATTTCAAGTCAGGAAGGCTTGAGTTCATACCCATCCTCAGACAATTCCTAGCTGTATGAATCTGGGCAAATCACTTAACTTCTGTCTACCTCCTTCTCCATTTTCTGATTTGTAAAATGAGGATAATAATAGTACCAACTCAGGGTTATTTCAAGGATAAAATGAGATGATACTTTGTGAAGTGTTGTTCAGTTGTTTTCAATCATGTTCGACACTTCGTGGCCCCATTTGGGGTTTTCTTGGCCATAGATAAGTGAAATGGTTTGCCATTTCCTTCTCCAGCTTATTTTACAGATGAAGAAACTGAGGCAAACAGGATTAAGTGACTTGCCCAGGGTTACGCAGCTGGTAAGTGTCTGAGGCTGAATTTAAACTCAGGAAGATGAGTCTTGGCCCTGCACTATATCATCTGTGCCACCTGCCTTGTTAAGTCATGTCAATACTAATGATATGATATATGTATGATAATAATTATTATCATTATTAATCAAGGCATAGCTATTCTATTAATAAGATATCCTAATTGCAGATGAAGTCTCAAGAGAGCAGTAGAGAACTTTTTGAATGCTGGCCTCCCAAGCCTGTGTCTGTGAAGTGACAATGAATATACTTCAAAAGGCTTGAGTTTTATAGAGTTCAAAGTAGAACTCAAGGGACAAAAAAGACCAAACCCTCCGAAAAACGAAAAACAAGAGGCCTTAAGGTACAATGTAAACAGCAAAGAGCTGGGGATTTGGAGTCAGCAGATGCGGTTTCAAATCCCAGTTCTGCTACTATTTGTATAATGTCGACAGATCACTTAATCTCTCTGGGCCTCGGTGCCTTACCTGTAAAATCAGTGGGTTGGACTAAATGACCTCCAGTGTCCCTGATAGCTCTAGCTCTTTTATCCTATAGGACCTGTAAAGAGCAGCAAAGGACCATTGTGAAGGGAAGTTATCTGAGGCCCTCTTTGTACTACATTGAGTTGCTTCTCCTGAAGGGTCAGGAAATACAGGCTTTATGGCACCTTGTGAATGAGAGGTAAGTAAAAAAAAAAAAATAAGGAACCAAGAAAGAATGTGCCAAGTAAATTAGTCATTGGTTCAGCCATTCTGTGATCCAGAGGCAGGGGCCCATAGTAGATGCACCCTTAAGGTCTTTGTGATTCTGTGATAAGCTTCCAGAGGGCCAGTCAGCTCAAGTTATGCTGCACCTTGAAACCCACACATGGAGACATTTAAACATATCTTTGGTCATATTTTCTTATTAGCTGAAAAGGACTGATGGCGCTCAAGACAAGAGAAGATTTGGTACAGAGGAAAAGGATCAAGCTTTCCACTGGGGCAACCTTCAGTGATTCGCCTAATAGAATGCTAATTAATCAACAAGTATTTATTAAACATTTACTATGTGCCAGGCACTGTGCTAAGCACCAAGGGTATAGAGGGGGCGGGGAAGCAAAAACAGCCCTTGCCCTCAACAGCTTCCCTCTAATGAGGGAAACAACATATATGTATGTGGTTGTTGAGTCATTTCAGTCTCTGTTTGACTCTTTGTGACCCCATTTGGGGTTTTCTTGGCAAAGATACTGGAGTGGTTTGATATTTCCTTCTCCAGCTCATTTTACAGATGAGCAAACGGAGGCAAAGAAGGTGAAGTGACTTGCCCAGCAGCTAGTCAGTGTCTGAGGCCAGATTTGAACTCAGGAAGATGAGTCTCTTCCTGACTCCAGGCCCAGTGCTCCCTCCACATCACCACCTAGCTGTCCATATTCATGTAAGTTAAGTAACTAATGAAGGGGATTAGAATCCCACCAAGCAAGGATTCCCGATTTTTCAGGAATAGAGTGCCAAGTCACTGACCTGGGTTCTTTTTCTGTTTCATGTTGGATCAAGAACGGTCACACACTGCAACAATATCGATCAAAAAGAGCTCCTCTACACATTTCAATTCACAGATATCTCTTTTTAAATGAAAATGCATCTTAAAGAAATACCAGTCCACACCTTGTGAATTATTTTGATCAGAGAATTGAACTTTTTCTCACAACAGAGAAATTAAATTTATTTAATCAGACTCTGAGAACAGTAACTTGATTTGGGACAGGTTAGGAGCAGGGCATACTTTGCAGACAGCAGACCTTTGTGTAGGGAAACCTTTGGAAAACCATGGGACACCCTAAGGATGTTAGGCATCTCAGGTACCTAGACAGAGAGGGTTTGAGAATAGAGAAGGATGCTGAAAGGGAAAGTGTACAGACAAGCTGCCTACTATGGGGTATGGCCAAAGGCAGTGGTATAGGCATTCAGCCTGAGTGCACAAAAGAATTGTGTAGAATACAGATATTTAAGGGTAAAAAAAACTCACTAATCTTTTAAAGATTAGATTTTTCAGATGTTTAAGTAACTACTACAGCTGGTGCGTGTATATATATATATATATATATATATATATATATATATATATATGTATGTATGTATACACACACACTTATCGTATACATAGACACATACACACATATAATTCAGTGCTGTCTCTCAACTATGTTAGATAATGAGAGGGACTTAAAGGTAAGTAAGACCCTGCCTTCAATTAGATTACATGTAGAGGGTAAAAGTACAATAATATAGGAAGGGCTAAAGAGAATATCCCGGGAGATTTGAGAAGGGAAGAATCACTTCTGGCTTAGAAGAAAAAGGATTCTGGGGAAGGTATAATGGAGAAGAGAACATCAAGATATGGTGTGGTGCAGTAGAAAGGCTGCTGGATTTGGAGTCAGAAGACTTGGGTTTGAATCCCAGCCCTAACGCTACCTTGGTGAACTTGAGGAAGTCACATCCTCTCTGGGCCTTAATTTGCTCATCTGTAAAATGATAGAGTTGGACTAGATGGCTTGGAAAGGGCGCTTCCAACCCAAAGTCTGTGAACCAAGGCTAGGACTTGATAAGAATTTTGACTCAACAATGAAGGGAGGGAAGCTCTGTAGAGTACCCATCTAACAGAGGCAGCTAGGTAGCTCAGTGGATAGAGCTGGGCCTAGAGTCAGGAAGAGCTGAATTCTAATCTGGTCTCAGATTTGTTAGCAGTGCAACCTTGTGCAAGTCACTTAACCTCTCTCTCCCTCAGTTTCCCCCACCGTAGGGCTGTTGTGAAAAGCAAATGAGGTAATATTTGTAAGGCACTGAGCTCAGTGCCTGGCACATAGTAAATACTATATAAATGCTAATTTCCTTCCCTTTCCCTCCTCTCCCAATATGTTAGAATCCAGGCAATAAGCATTCTTCATCCACTTGAGCTTTCTTGTGTGGATGGACCAGCTAAACTTTTTTGAGTGATTACAGATCTCTTTCAGGAGGCTGTATGATATTTCAGAAATCACAAGATATTATGCAATCAGCATGATGTTATCTGTGAACAGCAGCATCTGTTGAGCAGAAATCCCTGCTCAACCTGGGCTCTGTGCTAGATCTCTGCCATCATAGTAGCACATACCTTTGGTGAGCCTTCATCTCCCTGTTTTGTCCCCAAAGAGTCATTGAACAACATTCTTTCTGTTGTTACATCTTCCAAGGAATCCTAAATGATCTTGGTGTATAGGTGGGAGACATCTTGCTGTAAAAAAAAAAGCCTGTAAGACAGTATTTTGTCCCACCAAGTCAAATGCTGTTTTTATCATCAACAAACCTTAAGTACAATGGGATCTTATATTCAGCTGATTTTGAGATGGCAAAGATGAGGTCCATTGGTGCATATCTCTTGAGAAAACCTGATCAGTCCCTGCTAATGCCTTCATTGAGTGTTCCCCTAATTTATGCATAGGTGATACTCATAAAGATTTCATATATATGACAGAGTAGTCACATGGAGGAGGGGCAGTACTTACTGCTCTTTTCTTAGTCATCTTTTTCATTATTCACCAGGTCTGAGATTTTTCCCACTGCGCTTGTATCTTCCCCTCCATCAGACACCTTGTGTGTCTTACCTCAATGTCCTCACAATTGCTTTGCCTCTAACAAGGATCTCCTCTATATATGTTTGGTCCAATCTAACTGCTTTTCCTGTCTTGGTTCTGTTTAGTGTTATTTCTACTTCCTCTATATGCATGTCATGGACCGAAATATAGAAGAGAATAAGATTAATTCCAAAAGAGACTTTGGTAATTATCTAGTCCAATTCCCTAATTTTTGTGGATGGGGAAACTGAGACTCACAAAGGTTAAATGACTTGTCTAGAGTCACACTGTGAGTGGCAGAGGTAGAATTTGAACCCAGGTCAACCAGAAGCAGGGATCTTGTTCCTGTACCATAAGACTTTTCACTATTTGAATAGGAGGTGAGGTAATGTTCGGCTTCAACTAAAAATTCCCAACCCATATTAATTATCTCTCCTATGATTAAGATTTCAAGCCTGACTGTTAACATGTTGATATCTATAAGAAACTGACTTTATAACTAAATGAACTTAAAGTGTTGGATATTTGACTTTTTTTTTCTTTTACAAAGACCAGATTTAAAAAATTCTTCCACCTTTGTTCGCCACGGTGGACTTGACCCTGTTTACCCACACCACTCAGGCCTTAGTTCCTTCTCTCCCCCACCTGCTTCTTTTTCCATCAGGTGATTCTCATGTACTTACTGTCCAGGGGTCCACGAGTTGACATCCAGGAGAGTTTGCATATTACAATTCTGCTTTACATGTGGGTTTTCATTTGCATATAATTTAGTCTCTCTTGTCTAGCCACATGACAGATACTGAAACCTGCTTGGCTTTCAGGTCTGGTTAATGAAAGAAAAAACACAAACTTTGTGGACCATAAAGGTTACATGGTTATCAGAGACTTGCTGACAGATGATCACAGCAGTAGACACTGGGCCATCAGCCTAAAACAATTCCCACAAAGGACACGGATAATGTCACCAATGATAATCTATGTTGGGGCTGCTCTGCAAACCCAGAGAGACTGCAGCATGCCTTCAGCTAGCCTTAGTTCCTAAGACACCAGAAACTTCTGTGTAGGATTTTAGAGAAGCCAAATGTAGGTTAATCCTTTCCCAAAACAGTTGAAAAACTTTTTTTTTCATTTCTCACCCTCTATACTCAGTGAGCATTTACTGAGTTCCTGCTATGTAGATGGTAGTAAATGCTACAGGGCTAGGGATGAGGACTAGATTTGTGATTTCTTTGGTATAGGGAACTCCCAGAAATTCCTTCTACCAATAAGGGCTGCAGCTTGTAGTCTTAAAGAATTGCCTAGAGCAAAACTTTCCTGACTGCCAGCAAGGAGCCTTCTAAAAGTATTATAAAGGAATTTCTTCTGGGGAAGTGACCTCAGAGTTCTGCTACTCAAACCCTCTCACTTTTCAGATGGGGAAACTGAGACCCAGAGAGGTGGGATGAATTGCCCAAGGTCTTAAAGGTCAAAACCAGGATTTGAACCCAGGTCTTCTGACTCCAAATTGAGTTCTTTCCTATTAAGTAGAGATACTATTGAATATTTACACCCATGGTGACCCTTCTTGGAGTGTGGCATAATGGATAGATTGCTAGAGTCATTATCCTTTCTCTGATGCAATGATTAGACTTTGCGTCTGGAGGACCTGAGTCAAAGTTTTGGACACTTACTAGATATGTGACCTTGGGCAAATTAGTTGACCTCTCTGAGGCTCAGTTTCCTCATCTGTAAAATTAGTATAATTATAGCATCTACCTCATAGGGACAATATAAAAATCTAGAACCAGGAAGGGCTTTAAAGGTCATCTAGTTCAACTCCGAAATTTTCCAGGAGAGAAGACTGGCCTAAAGGGGTTAAATGATTTGCCCAAAGTCACACGTCAATAAGTTACAGATCCGGGATTAGAACACAGGCCCTTGACTTGAAGTAGTGTTCTTTCCGTTATACCACGCAGTATATAAGGGACTCTGCAAACTTTTAAATAATAAATAAATAAATATGAACGATTATTATTATTTATAAAGTTGCCTAGAGTGCCAAGAAATTCAGTGATTTGTGTAGGGTCATCCAGCCATGTGTCAGTGAGGCCTTCTTCTTCTCCAAGAATTGCTCTTGTAGTTGTTTAGGGCAAGGTGGTTCCACATTGCAGCCAGCACCAAGTAAGGAGCCCAGGAACTCCTAACCTCTCAAGTTCATGTAGTTCCTCCCAGGCTAGAGGGATCCGTCTTAAGATGACTTCTCAGGTTATCTGTATTCTGGGGAAGAAATACAAAGCAGAAGAGGTGACCAGGGGCCTGAGCTCGAGCCCGCCTAGACCAAGCCTCTGCCTAAGCTGCCATGTGTGAGTAGTGGAAGTCCCAGAGATGGAATACATCGCACGTTACGTATATACACATCACACATTATGGGGAGAGAAAGACAGGCAGATGGAGACAGAGAACACATAAGGAAATTATCCCTCTTTTTCGACATAGTGACCAAGGGACCATCTTTGTGCTGTGCCATGTCAAAGAGCCAAGTCCTTTGGAGTTGAGCACATATTCCCTTGGAGGGAGCCATAATACAGCCTCAACACTCCATCAGAGATGAAGACCTCATCTTGGAGAAGATGGCCATTAACAGGAGACTGAGCCCAAGACCTGCCCTGATTTGTCAGAAAATATCTTCTGGAGGGAATTGTTTGGACAGTGCTTGTTGCTTGTCCTTCCTTCTCAAAGAGGCCCATGGTATCCGGATGGTGATGTCATGACTTGCAAGTGAATTGCATTGGAGTGAGGGAGGGCTGTACAAAGTCACCAGCCTCTCTTTCTCCTCCAGAGCCATCTGGGCCCAGTGGTAAGACATAGATCAGGACAACTAAAGATGGCCCCGCTTTGGACAATGCAGAGCTGTCTTACAAAATGGCTCATGCTCTAGCCACATCACAAAGGGGTAGGCGGAAAGAAGGGCTGGCTGTTTTTTTACCCCTTTAAATGCAGATGAAGAAAAGTGGAGTTTAGAGAGGTCAAGTGATTTGATTTTTGTCACCTAGCTGGTAAGTGACAGAGGACTCGGACTCAGATTTCCTGTTTCCTGCCTGTAAATCTGTTGTTCTTTCTGCTTTACTACACATGGAAACAGGAAAAGCTAAATAACATATAAGTCAGCACCGGCACAATACTAAATGAATGTCTCAAACAGCAAGCACTATAAGAGGTTCAGAAAAATGAGGGAGAGAAATGTGGGCTTCGGAGCTGTGTGAAGAAAGGCTTCCTGGAAAAGAGAGCCCTAAGGGAATTTAAGGGAAGATGGTCACAGTGGAAGGGCACTCTGGGTGGGGGGAATTCATAAACAGAGCAAGAATGCATGGGGTTAACTTCATAAATCAACCAGTTCAACCCTGTCTTTTATAGATTAGCAACCTGAAGCCTACAGAGGCAAATTGATTTGTGCAGGACCACACAATGATAGAGCCACCCTTTAAACCTAGGTTCTTTGACTCTAAATCCTGATTTTTTTCCCACAATACCACACCACTTCATATAATAAAGGATGCAAATAAAGAACAGTCTAACTGGTCTAACATCAAATATGTAAAGAAGAGAAGTAGAAGATAGGTTGGAAAAGTAGAGTGGGGTCAAGTAGTAGAAGGCCTTGAATGGCAAGAAAATATTCACTTACTACCACAGATCACATGGTCCCATAGGAAACACTGTAAATTGGAGCCAAAAGTACTCATTTTACCCCTGGTTAAGGAAGAAAATTAATCAGCTCAAAACACAAATGTGGGAATAGAGAAGCAAGGAAAATTCCAAACCACTCCCTCCCTCCCACCCTCACTGCTTCCATCAATTGCATTCCCCACTTCTACACGCTTATTGCTGAGCACTAATTGAAGAAGTTGTACTACCATGCTGACTGGGTCCATCTATTACAGGTTGGTTATATCAACTCAACTGGGCCCTCCCTGCTGTGTGCAAATTTTTTTACTCAACAATAATAATAATAATAATAATAGCTAACATTTATAAAGTGCTTACTATGTTCCAGGTACCAGGCTAAGCACATAAAAATCATTATCTCGTTTGATCCTCACAACAACCCCAAGAGATAATGCTGTTGTTATCCCCATTTTACAGATGAGGAAATTGAAGCAAAGCAGAGGTTAAGTGACTTGCTCAGAGTCACACAGCTAGTAAGGATCTGAGGCCAGATTTGAATTCAGTTCTTCCTGATTTCAGACTTGGCACTCTGTCCAAACTGACTGACTTCCTATCCCACTCCCCTCAGTTCTGTTTTAAACCTTCTCTTCTCCTTAAGCTACCTAAGCTTTTTCTTCTTCATTATGCAAATATGCCTAGATTTCCCCCCATTTTCTCACCTTGAATTTGCTTCTAAACTCTTTGTAATCTGGTGTTGAAGGAGTCTGGAAAGATAGGTCATACAGCTGATAAATGGAAGAGGTGAGATTTGAACCTAGGTCTTCTAGACTCAGAAATGTGTGAGGGCCAATTTGTACCAGTTTGTGACAGCAGATTGTTAAATATTCCTCATTTTATGCCTCTGAGGTATTAATTTATAACTCAGAAATTAGAAAATACTTGGAATGCAGTATCTGATTTGTTGTTTATTGATTGCAGTAGACTTAAGAAAGGGATAGAGAAAATGTTACCAATGTGGATTGTACTTAAAAGTGTGTCCTGCATACAATTTTTGTTATCAGAGAGCTGGTTGATAAACTTTTACCAGCACACCCTTGAATGCCATCTCAACAACATATTTACTGAACTGTGATAATTCTCCCACCATTATTATGGAACAGAAAGTTGGAAAGACTGTTGCAGATTTGCCTTGACTTAGAGAAAACCACATAAATGCATGAGATTAGTTTCTTAAGGATTTGTCCATGAAAGCCATGAAAAACAGATTTAGGTGTAGCCAAGTGTTTCTACAATGGCATTTCACACCTGTTGGGAACAGAGGAGGTCACAAAAATTCCTGCCGGGATGAAACAGATTGGGGAAGCACCAGGGAAATGGGGGGACCTGGGTATGGGTGTGCAGAATCCTAGAATTCGAATTTCTTTTTTTGCCTTGGAGAGTTACTTCCTGTTTGGTCACAGAGAGAAAAGGGAAGCATAGCATCAAGAGAGAGGCCCCCTACTTGATAAGTGGGCACACATCAGCTGAATTGGGGGGGCTGACTCCTAATATTGCTAGTTCTGCAACCCGTGCCTCCCATATGCTATGGCCATGAAGACCTGTGGGAAAACCAGTACACGAAAGTGAGATGGACCCCGAAGCCAGAGGTGAGGACCAGCACGTGGACAACCCAGCTCCAGAGGAAAAGCCAATCAGAACGGATTCTTCAGATGTGAGTCTAGAGACTGGTAGCTGCTGAGTATCTTGTGGTTGGCGACCCAGCAGTAGGGAGAACCACTTGGTCTTCGTACCACCTTGGGAGGACGAGGGAGAGGAGGGTACTGGGATATGGTTGGGTTGAAGCACCTCAAGTTGAAAATGCGTAACAGATTTCCTTGCATTCTTGTTATGCCTAATAAATCATATGGCTACATTAACTTCAGTGACTGTATCCTATATATACGTGGGGGTCATTAATTGAAGGGAAATTCCAGCTTGAGTATGAAGGAGCAGTCATGTATTTTCCTTGAATTTTTTTTAATAATTTGGAGCTGTATTTCATCATCCCCTAGGCCTGATACAGAATCCTTCCAGCATGGGTTTTATCTTGCTCCCTCCTTCCCAACACCCATGTGCTTTGGTGAAGTTTGAGGCTCAAGCATGCACATCAGAGAAGAGGTTCATGCATACACACCAGAGAGGTTCAGGAGGAACCTTCCGAGTGACCTGAGTGGAGCGACCCCTAATGGACAAACCACTTTTCAATGCATATCAGAATTACTCTACCAACCCAGATCTGAATCTAGGTCCCACATGCTTTCTGCTATGGCCGCTGTATTTTCCTCTCATCTGTCACAGCCCAAACGACTCAATACAGCCCAGAGGGACCCGAGGCCAGAACATTTTCATTGGCCCTGACTCTTTTTAGTAGGGCAGGACAGACAAAGAAAAACACTCTTGTGGTTTAACTGACCCAGGAGTACTGAATTGCTCAAAGTGCCCTGTCACTTCTGACAGGCAGCCCTGAGGTGTTGGTCCTGTTTCAGAAAGTAGAAAAGGCTTAAGGTCAAAGGTGCAGTGGAATTAGTATTGGATTTTAGAATCAGTTTTGCATCCCCAAATCTGCTTCTGACCTTGGACAGTATATTTCTCCCTGAGCTTCAGTTTCCCGAGTTATGACAGTTTTTGCCTTATTGGGGCAGTGAGTTGGTGTAAAGCATAGAGCGATAGGCCTGGAGTTAGGAAGACCCAAGTTCAAACCTGGCTTTAGACACACTTACTAGCTGTGTCACCCTGGGCAAGTCACTTACCTGCTATCTGCCTCAGTTTCCTCATCTGTAAAATGAGGGTAATAATAGCACCTACCTCCAAGGTTTGTTATGAGAATCAAATGAAATAATAATTGTAAAGCACTTAGCACAATATCTGCTACATGGTAAGTGCTCTATAAATGTTAGCTATCATAATTATTAAGTGCTTAATACATACCAAGTACTATGCTGAGAGCTGAGAATACAAATATAAGCAAAAAACCCCAATCTCTTGCCTCATGGAGTTATAGTCAGACTGGAGAACACATAAGGAGACAATAAAAGAGAAAGAGAGAGGTGGCGAGTGCCAGGCTTGCAGTCAGGAAGACTCATCTTCCTGAGTTCAAATGTGGCCTCAGATACTTACTAGCTATGTGACCCTGGACAAGTCACTTTACCCTGTTTGCCTCAGTTTCCTCATCCGTAGAATAAGCTGGAGAAGAAAATGGCAAACTACTCCAGTATCTGCCAAGAAAACCCCAAGTGAGGCCATGAAGAGTAAGAGATGACTGAAAACGACTGAACCACTATGCAAAGGAAGAAGAGAGGGTGGGTAGATGGACATGACATGAAATACTATTGGAAGGCTGGGCCCCCAAGACCAGGCTAAAGAGAGGGCATAGATGGAGTGGTTTTGGAAGTAAATAAGGGGTGTGGGCTTTTAATAGCTCCTATTTGTATAGTTTTTTAAGGTTTACAAAGCACTGTAACAACTCACTTCAGGTAGGAGGGCCAGGCGTTATCTTCAGCCCCATTCCGGACATAGATAGACCCCTACCAATGCAAATCCACCCCTTCTCTGCCACTTATAATCAATCGCGTCAC